TTCAATTTTAGTATGGAAATTAGAAAATTTCGTGGATCTCTCTTCACTTTCAAACCTCTCCTCTCCAATAATTTCTCCAATTTTGAAGGAAATATCTGAAAAATTACAAATAAATTCGCCCACTCCCTCTCTCTCCATTTCGAACCGGGATGAGTCCCAAGATGGATTCCAGAAGGATGGTCTTTCTGGAAACCATCTCGGTCTTCATCCCGGTCTATTTCGAACCGGGATGAGGCCCGAGATAGAATCCAGAAAGTCCATCCCAGGGTTCCGGTCCTAAAACAATGGAAGCAACAATAAATCAAACTTCATAATAACCTTGGCTACTTTAGATAGAGCCGAAGGTTGAAATCATTCACACCACGCAAAGAACGAAGAAAAAAAAGGTAGAAAATCATTCACAATAAGATCGCGAGTTCGAAAGAAAAATTACCTCAATTAGAGAAGGGGGAAAACTCTGATAGAGACGAGTGAGGGAGACGAAGAAGAAACGACGGAGATGAACTTTCTGGTTGTGAGGGAGAGATCGGGATGAAGATTGGGATGGACAGCAAGATAGTGAATGAGGGAGGGGAAGGACCGAGACAGGGAGAGAAAGGAGGGGAGGGCTGAGTTTGGTTTCTTTTTTTAAATTGAGGATAACTTGGTAATTTTACAAGGTGGAGGTGTCATAAATAGATAAAAATCAAAAGAGGATCAAAATTACAGAGAGTAGTTATTGAGAGGGGTCAAAAATCCCAATTTCCCTCGTAAGAAAGCCCAAATTACCCCCTTCCTCTCGATTTCCCCCTTTCGATTTCAAGCTTGGCTTCCGCCATTGGCATCGGATTTAGCAACCTCCCGCCATCGCGTTACCTTTCTCGCTCGGCGTCTCACCTCCATCTCTCTGCACTTGTAAGATTGAAGCTCTATCTTCTTTTAATTTTCAATTATTTCTTCCGTGCTTTCTGCTACTCTGGTTCTTGATCGAGATTTTAGGAAATCTTGTTCTTCGGTCCGTGCTTTCTAAAATTCTTAATTGTGGGGTGTTTCGTTTCCATCTTTGATTTATGGCTACATAATTGCCTTCCTTCGGATTCATGTTTAAAAAACTTTCCAATTATGTCGTCACAATTAATTGGAAGCAATCTTGTAATGGTTGTAAGGTTTTGTACGATTATCGTTTAATAAAAACCCTAAAGACTTCTCTCTCTTCGTTTCCTCCCTGGCCTCCCATCCCTTATCTTCTTCGTGGAAACCAGCCGCACCAGCCCTCCCTCGGCGTCGTCTCCGGCAACTCCTAAGTGGTGAACGATGGCACACAAACCAGCAGCGTGCTTCCTCGGCTTTCTTCTCCTGCGGCATCTGTGCGCAGCGGCGGTTTGACAGTTACCACGAACAGCGGATACTGTGGCGGTGAGAACCCGGACGGCGTCCTCCCTTGCAAGCGACGGTGGAACAGGCAAGTTCGGTTCTGTAGCAGTCTGGCCAGATCTTAGAGTTCCGGTCTTCTCTACCTACTCTCGCATTTGCATCAATTGATTCCAAATCTGTGTATCTAACGCTTTTGCCACCGTTCAAACAAAGATCCCCAATTAGTTCGATAAGGGTAAGTGGGTAACAACCTTCTCGTTCCCCTTTCTGATTAACGTTCTGAATTTTCTTTTTGTTGTCTAGTAATCGATCCAAATCAAGGGCTTGGAAAGTAGATTGGGGCGAGTGTGCGTGGAATTGTTCCTTCTTGTTGTTGACTCTACTATGTATCTTCCTTATATTTATGGTTGTTGGACCTAGTTTGAGAATTTTTATTTGATATGGCTTGATTTAGTTTACTTGTGGAGGGTTGAAAGCATATTCTGACGTTTGGATGAATGTGTTGTTTGTTAACCATATGCTTGTTGGAGACTAGGAGTGGGCTGTGAGTTCACGGGATTTAGTTGACTTAATAGTCTTTATGCCTTAGGGAGAAGGTTTAAGCATTATTCTTCTTCTCCCAACTCCCAACTTGAGCATCACACTCAATTGAAGGTGATGTACATTTCTAACTCTTGTATTTTCACCTCAATTATAATTTGAAACGTACGATACACGACATTTGCGATTCAAAACACGATTTGAATCGTTTTGCCTTCATTTCGTTCTGAATTGTACGATATGTTTTTACGAACCATCTTACGTTTTTAACAACTCGTTTGTTCTAAATATATAAGTTATCGAGTTTATGTAAAACAATCAACTATTGATTTCAGCGTGAGTATGCCGATGGCCATAATTCATAAAGCAAGTGGGCATTAGCCAATTCATCTCAGTAAAAAAACCTGTTAACTACCACTAAACAGTTGCTATGTAATGAAGTACCTAACAACTCTTTTCTCTTGAATTGTTGCAAAATATGTATTTCAGAGCTCCAACACATTTTTGAAGTGAAAATAAGACAATGGATTCGGCTCAGAATGCATCTTCAGCTGCTGGGACTGGTGGAAGTGGTGGCAATGGATCAGTCATTAACGATACATCAGCATCGGCAACAGTGGATGACTCGAAGCAAAACTTGAACCAAGTAATCAACTCCATACAGAAGACTTTGGGCCTCCTCCATCAGCTTAACCTCACCGTTTCTAACTTCAATGCGGCTTATCAGCTGCCTCTTTTACAACGCCTGTATGCTGATTTTGCTTCATCTAATATCTAATTCTTTATTATCTCCGTATTCCACTGAGTCCACTCTTTACCAGTGATATTCTTCTTGACTTTACAGTAATTCTCTCGTTATGGAGCTAGATAACATGGTTAAATTATCAGAGAAATGCAACATACAGGTTCCTATGGAGGTTCTTAAGTGAGTCTTCGCACCACCTTTTTTGATCTCTAACTCTGCGAACTTTTTCTATTTTGTACACTACATGGTTCTCTTGGTCCAATTCTTACTTTTCTTTTAATTAGTTTGATCGATGATGGGAAGAATCCGGATGAATTCACGAGGGACGTAATAAATAGTTGCATTGCAAAAAATCAGAGTACAAAAGGCAAAACTGATGCGTTCAAGGTAGTCTTTATGTCCCTATGTGACAGGCTGTTAAAATCTACTTCACTCATATTTGTATCTTGATTTTCAAAAATTCACAAAAATATTTACTGAACCTTGTACCACATACTATCTTCAGGGTTTACGGAAGCATCTTTTGGAGGAACTTGAACAGACATTTCCTGATGAAGTCGAGTCATACAGAGAAATTCGTGCTGCTTCTGCTGCTGTGAGTTATGATTTCATTTCTGCTATCAATTTTATTCTACCTTCAAATATTTCTCAAAATCATCTTTTTGTTTTTTCATTTTCAAACTTATCAAGAATATTTTATTGGCTTTTATGGATTAACTTTTGCTTTGTATCTACTATCTATAACCATAAGCTATATGTTTTTGCAAAGTTTGCATCATCCTTTCTTGACCAGCACTTCTAGCTATTTATATCTTTTTAGTGGTTTTAGACCTCAAACATCAGAAAATTTAAATATGTTATGGTGTCAGTTATAGGTATAGTTGGATGTCCATTGCTTTAATTATATGGTAAGTTATTGAAGATTCACTTAACTGCATAGGAGTATTTTTAATATAAGATATTGAACGATTTGTTTTCTGTTGATTTGAGTTTGTGTGTAGGCAATAGTTGCTTTATTATATGGTTTCTATTGGTTTTCTCATATTGTCGAAGAATGAGATCGACTAAGTTGCTTTTTGTTTTATGCTTCATAGGATGATTGAATTCTGCTTGCTTAAATAACTTCTTTGTGGTTATTTTATAAACATCTCTTAAGCCGGAATTCCAATATTCTCCTCTGTGAATGAAAGGAGTTAGATGTTTTTAGAATCAGATTGAAGTACTTTAGCGTATAGTTAGTTGAATGTTGTTTTGTGATTAGCTTATATGAAGTAAATGACTTGAAATACTAACTTGCCTTGAAGTCTATAATTACCCTTCCACTGTTGAACTTGCGCCAGATGATTGATAGTTTTTTTCTAAAAAAAACCATGATAGTGATGATCAGTGATCACTGTTATTCCATCTAGTGTCTGTCTCTATCTATGCTCTGGGTTTCACTCGATCATTACTAAATTTTTCATGATATTAAGGTTTTTGGATCATGTGGTCAAGTGTGGAATTATGGTACTGGAGTTTCCATACTTGGTGGCAGTTTTAACTTTAAGTTTCACTGTTGATGATCACTAATTTACACTTAAGTGATTATGTAATGCGGAGTTGCTTCTTGTAAGGCAGTTATATAACTTATATTGTATTAGGACATTAGAACGAGTGTGAGTCGTGTGATTTAGTTAGATACAAAAATTTTGATAGTGGCTAGAATTTTATTGCAATATCAAAGTGGTACGCCGTGGTGATTGCCTAGGGCTATCTCTCTTCTGAAAAATTTTTCTACGAGATTGCTCAACTCTTACTTGCCTGTTGCCTTGCTCACACTATTTATAACCAACCTTTTCTAGTAAGCTCATTATCTAATAGCTAATTTACCCATCTAAATTATAATATTCCACTACCTCCAAAACACACTATTTTTTTCCCCTTTTGATTGACTACTTTCGTTGAGAACAAATGAAAGAATATAAGGGGGCAATACAAAAAAGAAAAGCCCAAGCAAAAAGGAGTCGAGATGAATCCAAAACAAAAGAAAAAGAAGAAAGAGAAACAAATTACAAAAGGGGCTCCAATTCAAAATTCAAAAGAATGAGAGGTAAAGGAAAATCACTAAAGTTCTTGGTGATGGAAACCTAAAGGGGTGCGTTGAATTGAGCCAAGTCCCAAATTCCTCCCAAAGAGTTTCTCTTGTCACTAAAGATTCTCCTCTCTCAAGTCGTATGTTCCATAAAATAGCAAAAATTGCTGCTTGCTGCAGAAACATCCCTTTTATCACGAAAGGAGGTGAAACAGCACCTCGTCCAAGCATGCGCTGGGACGATTTGAAGACGGAATAGATACTACATCCATATAATCTTGCTTGAGATACGAGGTTCATCCAGACTCGAAACATCTTTAATTAGACCAGAATTACAGAATCTAAGCGGCAAATCCTTTCCAGTCATCTAGTAATTCATTGGTGGCTCGGCTCTCCTCATAAATGTCTGCAAGAGTTATAGAACTATGCCCCATAAGAGGGTGTTTATTTTTGGTTAATAAAATGATCATAAGAGTTCATCTTTGCTCATTTTTCCCTGTTTGCATCCTTTCATTGCGCTTTCTGGACTCTGGTTGAATTGTTTGATTTCTCCCCTTCAACTACCACCCCAACCCATAATATCGGTAGTTGTGTTTTTATTTTCGTTTGTTGCTTTCATTATTTTTTCTTGAAATCGTGCCCATTTATTTTCACTTCCAAGAAAATTCTTAAGCAAGCAGATAGCACACAGTTCTTCAACCCATTTTGTTGGTTCTTTCCAGGCTCGTGTACCATTCAAGAGATTTGAAAAATACAACCCAAAGTTTGTCCCATGCAACACCCAACCCCAAAATTATTCTCAACTGTAATTTGCACTATTCGTGAATCCCCTCCTCGCTCCATCTCCTAGTATAACCACTCCTTGATGTTTTTTGTCATCAGAATCTTCAAATTATCAGGTGTGAGGAAGCTAAAGTGTTGCAAGGATTCTCTAAAAAGACGCTAAAGCTTTGATGCCCATCTGTACATGCAAGTACCTGAAATGAAATCAAAGGATCCTCTATTCTTGTTGACTGTTTGTCTCGCTCTACCACATTCGTTCCTTGAAGTCCTTGCCTACTTGTATATTTGCATCTGTTAAATTAGCACCAAAACTTTCTTTCTCCACCACTGCCAGATGATTTTGGTCTCTTTTGCCTCAGTCTGTATTGTATCGGCTTGATTTGCATGTTTCTTTTGCCCATATTTTTGCTTGATACCGTAGTGCTTTCTTACTATTTTGTCTCAAGTATAATTTTTCTTATCTGATGATGTTTAATTTGCGCTTGATAGTTCCTGGTTTTAAGTTTTAGATTTCTCCAGCTTCAATGATGGCTCTTTCTTTCTTTCCTTTTTTTTGTGTTTTTAATTTAATTTTTCCCCTCTAATTGCTTCTCTTTTCAACATTACTGGCAGACACAATTTTAGCCACCTGTTTCAATTTCATCTCCTCAAATGGCATCATTTTTGTTAACGCCATCTCTTTCTCCAATTTCTTTAATATCTCCAACCTTTGAGCAACATCTTCCTATGCTCTAGATTCTTTCCTGAGATCAAATGGCTCAGATATCTATTTGATAGAAACCTAATCTCGAGATTGAAAAGAAAATAAGGAATAAAGCTTGATTGCAATATTGAAATATGCAGGTGATAACCTCCCGAGAGGGCTGTAGGTCTCCCTCGACCTTTTCTTACAAACTCATCATCCCATAACTAATTTTATGCCCATGGCAATTATGAATTTGGTTAGCTCAAAACTTTTGCTTAGATATGTTGTGAGATCTTTTGATAGTGATGGAATCATATCGAGAAAAGAGAGAAAATCGGGAGTCGGAACTTTGCTCCTCTATACCCGGGACGGGGCAGTAGCATTGTTTATTATGTTTTCCTATTATTGAGCTCAAACTTTAGTCTTGTTGCAACTAATTGCAGGAAGCAAAAAGGATAGCGCAAGCGCAAAGTATGTTACCAAATGGAGATGTGAAGGTCAAGATGGAGGTTTAAGAGCCCTTCTCATTGATTATCAGGTTTTTGAAGTTCTTCTCTTGCCATCATTCTTTATTATGTCTTCAGCATTCTTCATTCCTTATTAGATTTATTAGATTTAATACTTTTGCTCGGGTCAGTTTGTAGGTTTTTTTTGTTTGTAATTATGGTGTTATGCTTTTGGATGGGAGCACTTTCTTCAGATGAGACTTATTTCTTTGGGCTGTTTTTCTAGGCCGTATTTTGTCATTTTTTATTTTTCTCAATGAAAATTTCAGTTTCTCATTAAATTTTTATTATTATTTTTTTTTGTTGCCATTTGTTTGATGATTTTAGTCTCAATTCAATGGATTAATAGTTGAATAACTGAAAATTTTATAGTTTTATATCCTAACTTTTTGATATTAAATTAGAGCTAAAACATATTTACTTTTTGATGTTAGAGGATGATGTTATTCTATTATTAATCCATTGAATTGAGACTAAAATCACGAGACTGAAAAAATAGCTTTAGCTCTAATTTAATATCAAAAAGTTAGAATATAAAAATATAAAATTTTGCTCCTCTGGACTTTTAGCTCCATACCAACAAAATTTTATATTCTAACTTCTTTTTAAAATATTAAATTAAACAAACCATGCCCCTTCTCCCTTATTTGTCCTACCCCTAACAATGTTGTGATAATTTAGGACTCGTTTGATAATGTTCCCGTTTCTTGTTTCTCGTTTTCAAGTTTTATTAAGAAACTCAAGTATTTTGCATCTAATTTTGTTTATTGTTTCTCATTTTTTGTATAGAAATTTTGGAAACAATCAAAACGAATTTCTTGTTTCTTGTTTCCATTTTCAGTTTGTTACAAAACATTGATATAAATATTGTTTGAGCATGTTTGGATTCATGGGTGTTGGGTCATACGATTCTATTTTTATTTATATCAAATTCAAGTTTCTCTGATTACTTTTGGCATCGTTTTTACTTGAATTATACTTGGACATTGAGGCCGACACAGTTCTTGTAGGAATTCACTGGTATGTAAATAATGAATGAATTAAGGTGAGGCGATGTTTTAAAGTAGGAATTTTTGTTGCTGAAAAATAGGTGAGATGGCTGTTCGTCGGTTTCTCCATTCAAACTATTCGGCAGCCTTCAATGGCGGTTGCTGAATTAGTACTGCAAATGCCATAGAAGGTGGAGAGATTTCCTGACACTATCAATGGCGGACAAGAATGACAACCTTAAACCCCACGCAGTGTCAGTTTGTCCGATTCAAGTTTGAATTTTTCCTTTTTTCTTTTGTTTTCTTTTCTTTTTACTGGTGAACGAATCTTTCCATGTCTGGATTCTCAGTTTTCTGATAACAAGTATTTGTAAATTCATATACAATTCCTTCCCTCATACAAACTCATGTTGGAGGTTTACATTTTTCTTTTGGGATATATATATGTTAATAAGTGTCCATGCTTTTTAGAATACCATCTTTAATCTTTATCCCATCTCATGAATCATATGGGATATTAAACATTTTAGCAACTCAAACACACAGCGAAAATATTTATGTAAATATTATTTCTCCTAGTCATATGTATATGTATAAAATAAGAGTGACTATTAATATATGCACATTTTCTTGTGTCAGACACACACACTAAAGAGGTTTTATTAGACTTCTATTGGGAGACATTTTATTCTCCTAATAATACTTAGGTGCTTAATGATTACCATTCATCTTTCATTCATTTTTTATTGAGAAATGTCGAAGAAAAATCGTTTAGAGTTTTTTAAAAAATAAAGAGCTGCCAAATTTTCAGGGAGATGGACTTGCGTCCCAGCCCTATTTCAAGTTCAATTAGTGCCAAGTTGAATCCAATATTGTTACCTGCCAACTTCTATAAATATGCACAACAAGTTGAGTGACGGTTTGGTATGCAATCTGCTGCATAATTACATATACTATTTCATGTAGTAAACTAATTTAATTTTTTTAGTACAATATATGATGGTGGGGAGATTGAACTCACAAATTCTTGATTGGAGATATATGCCCATTACTGGTGAGCTATACTTGCTTTGGCATAAATTCATTTCATTTTTGTTCAAATTAAAACTCATAAAATATAATATATTATAAATGGTATAATATTTAAAATAATAAATTTACAACATTTATATAAAAATTGTTCTTATATGGAGCTAATTATTTAGTTGGTAATTACTACTAGTTTAAAAATATATTACTAAACATATATTACTAAACATACATTGAACAAATTTTTAAACTAAGATTCAATTTCAAAATCTCCTATCAAAGGCCAAACCGAGCATAGCTCAAATGGTTAAGGCACCTATATCTAATAAAAGGTAAAAAATCTTCTACAAAAGACATATCTAAAAACACAATATAACCGAGTTTTTCATTAAATTAAATCCATTATTTTCAAATTTTTGTTTTGGATCACCAATGAAACGCACCTTAAGAGAAATTCAAATATCTGGTCGGGTTGATAATGTTTATACGAGGCATAGAACTGATGGTGGTGGTGGCATCCTAGCGTACAATAAGTACAATTCCATCAAAGCCAGCCATTTATTTTGTTGTCTTGTGCTGACGTTTGGTTGGATGTAGGGACCATAAATGTCTAAAGAATAACAATATAGATGAATTATGAAGTAAAGTCGTGTTTAGTTGGATCTACTCACTTATAAATAATATATATATATATATATTATTCTCTTAGTACAATAAATGTGGAGTGGGGATTTGAACCTCTAATTTAAAAAAAAAAAAAGATATCTTAATCGCTAAAGTAGGTTCGAATTTGCAAATAATGGATACATTTAATTAGTCGGAAAAGTTACACTTTGGAGTACAAATACATTTTATTTATATGACTTTCTAGCTTGGCTTAGATGTCATGGTTTAGACTTCCAGAGATAGTAAAGAGAGGGCCCCACAGACAAAGGAGGGGTTAGAAAGTCTTAGCATAATGATTTAGAAATTGGAAAAAGAAGCCCCCAAAAAACTTATAACCACAAGTCATTGACAAACCTAGACGGAATCTTTAACATTTTCTTTTGTATTTGAAACATCAAATTATCTCTCTTTCTTTACGACTTTAATTAACAATTTAGATATAGCTAAACTGGTTAAGACATATATTATCGATGATAATATTAGAGGTGATGGTCACTCTTTTTTTCTTTAAAACTTTAATTAAAATGATAAATTTAAGCCTAGCTCAACTGGTTAAGACGTATATCATTGACCAAAATGCTAGAAGTGAGGATCTCTTTTTATTTTTATTTTTTTAAATTTTAATTAAAGCAACCAATTTGAGTATAACTCAACTAGTTAAGATATATATTATCGACCAAAAGGTTAAAAAGTGAGGATCTCTCTTTCTTTGAATCTTTAATTAAAGTAGTCAATTTGCACATAAATTAAAGCATACGTTATTGACCAAAATATTAGAACTCTTTTTTAACTTTAGTTAAAATAATCAACCTGGACGTAGCTCAACTGTTTAAGACATTTATCATCGACCAAAAAGTTATAGGTTCGAATCTTCACTCTCGGAAAAAAAGAAAAAAAAAACTTTTAACTAAAGTAATTGGTTGAGTTTGTGAAGTGGGGTCAAAGTGATTACAAGGCATTAATGTGATTCATTGTCCAAAAACAGAATGAAAAGGCAACGAATTTGCCTAATTTATGTCTTTGTTTTTTTGAGTTTCAAAGTGAAAGGCCAACGTGTAATGTGTGCCCGCCCCCCTTCTTCCCTTTGTTTTTTCTTGGTCAAAATCATAGATAATTTTGTTCTTATTTGTTTTTCCACCTGTGGGATCCAACGTGGCTATCACGTCACCAGTCCTTTTACGGTAGAAATTAAAATGTTACAATATTTAAATTATACCGCTTAAATCGTTACAAATACTCAAGTTTAGGGATTAAAACGTTACTTCAATCAAAGTACAAATATCAAATATATTTTTTAACCTAATTCTTTTTCCTTTAATGACTACTTTTGAGTTACTAATTAATATAGAGTTTAATTACAATTTTGATTTTCAAGCTTTCAGAGTTATTGGTTAATAGGATCTTGAATTTAAAAAATGGTCTAATAACTAATAAGTTCTTCAACTTCTAATTTTGCGTCTAAACTTAAAAAAAAACACAAGTGAATTAGAGATTTATTTAAATACAAAATTAAAAGTTCGAGAATCTATTAGATATAGCATTTATTATAAACATAATTACTATATTTTCTTTTAAGTACAACAAATATAGTGGGGTAACTTTGTACTTTCACCTCGAACAGGTGCCTTTATAAAATAATTCATAGGGTTAGGGGTCCTTCTGCACCCCATCTTCCACAATTAAAAACTCGGGGAATACAATTTCGTTTTATCTGTAATATGTAGGGGTAAGATACGTAATTTATTTAATATGCAATGATGGGTATATGTGTGACTCGTTACCCTATGGTACCCCAAGGTAGGTACCATTGGATAAACGGTCACATACACCTAAGGGATTTCGAGTATCATTTTCCTTTTTACAATGAGACCCGAAACTCTCCACCACTAGATATTAAATAAATTATTTATCTTACCCCAAAGTAGGTACCATTGGATAAACGGTCACATACATTAGGAGATTTCGAATATATTTTCCTTTTTAAAATGAGACCCGAAATTCTCCACCACTACATATTAAATAAATTATTTATCTTATCCCGTACATAGTACATATTATAGGTAAAATGAAATCGTACGTCGGGTTCGGGTTTTTATTAGTGGAAGATGGGTGGAAGATGGCCCCCCCGAACCTAACCATATGAGTACTTTTGGTCTGTTTGGTTGCTCAAGGTTTTGAGTAATTTCAAATCTAAGCGGATTCGAAGCATCAAATTACTTATTTAACTTTACCGTATTTTAATTTACCATTATAGATTAATTAAAACCCTATATTAGTAATTTTTTAAAAATATTTTCCATTGGTTTCCACTTAACATCCAAACAAAAAAATTTAATTATATTAATTTCAAATCAGCTAAAAGTAAAAAATTAAAATTCTGTTTCGAATATTTCTACCACCAAATAAAATATTATCGTTGAGCTATATTCAGATCGACAATATCACGATACGACTCAACAGAAAGTTTAAAAAGGAGGGCGAGTACAAAAAAAGTAATTGATGAATTAACTTAGTGTTGATATTACATGGTGGGGCAAATTTCAATGAATGAGAAAAAAATAAAAAAGAAAGGATAGTGATTGGAAACCAAAGGGGAGGAATTAAAAGACGGGCGGACTTTTTTTCTTTTCATCCGAATTCAGAGAGCGAAACCCGCGGAGCCGCCCTCTCCATTCACGTGCCTAAAATTATTCTCCCATCTCGACTTTCAAGTTTATTCTATTTTGATTTTCGTTAATCGCTTTATTAGTATTTTCATTCACACCGTAAATTTTTCTTCATCAATAATTATTTAATTTTTTGTCAAAGCGAACATAGTTCAGTATATATTTCCCATTAAGATGCTGTGAATTTGATTCTTCGACCTAGATGTTGTACTAAAAAAAATATTTAATCTTTTTAAAACCTACATCATTTTTGTTAATGTAGCTGATAATAAATAGTAGTATTGAAAAATTTTTATGTGTATCTTCTTTTGAGTACAATGTAGGATGTATGTTTCGGAGCTACGTATTTTTTTTGTGTGATGGATGTTGAATGAGCGAATATTAAGTTGCAAATAAAAGGAAATATTAAAATATATTTTTTTTTCCAAGTTTAGAGACTAAATTTTTCTTTTAAATACTAAAATAGATATTTTGAAAGTTTAGGGACTAAAATAAGATTTAAATTTCTATTATTTTATTTTATAGACCTCACATTATTCTTTGCGGGTAAGATTATTAATTAAATTATAAATTCGATTCATATTTTTTTTTATATATTTTTAAAGTTATATCTATTTAATCTGTATAATAAGCTCCAAAACTTTTACTTCTAAAAATTCATGTGGTTAAACCTTTAATTTTATGTCATCAAATGTCTTAACTTCCTCCAAATCAACTAATCACACCATACTTAAATTTAATAGAGTTAACATTAGAGCCCTATATAAAAAGTTGAGATGCGTACTAGAAAGTTTTTAAAGAATGCTATTTAACTACTAATTGATCGGTCGAAATCTCCACTACAAATTTGACAGCAAATTAATTATGTTTTCGAAAAATAGAAAAAATATTTATTTTCTCTTTCGTCTTTCAATTTCTACATTTTTTTCTATGGGTAAAGAACTTAAAGGACGGTCAAAATGAGATTACGGACCCCGTTTTCTAACCATAGTTAAATATTTGTCTTTTTTACGTTGAAAATTTAGGAACATTTAGAAATATTTTAAAATACAAGGGACATCGTCCCAAAAATAAGGACCAAATTTATAATTTAATAAAAAAATTGATGTAAAAAAGGTGGTACA